TCCTAACTGTGCACATGATCTGTATAATATTTAGAGGTGTTCCTAATATTGTAATCTTTTCATATATATGTAGCTGCGGAGAACAAAATATTGAGACCCCACTTAAATAAACTATGACTTCAAATATTAACTTGTAATTGAATGTATTCAGGGCAGCATGGTGGCGCAGTGGTTAGCACCGTTGCTAACCAGGTTCCAGGTTCAGGCCCCACCCGGGAACTTTCTTTGTGGAGTTTGCATGTTCTCCCCCGTGCTTGCGTGGGTTCTCTCCAGGTACTCTGGCTTCCTCCCACAGTCCAAAGACATGCAGCTTAGGTTGATTGGTGTCTCTAAATTGCCCATAGGAGTGCGTGTGCGTGTGTGTGGTTGTTTGTCTATGTGTTAGCCCTGCGATGGATTGGCGACCTGTCCTGAATTAGCATCTATACAATAATAATAATAACAATAAATAATTGGATAACAATAATTTCTTCATCAAGATGTGAATTAAGTGTTCCCTTAATTTATTGAGAGGTGTGTATTGATTGTTTGTGTTGCAGTTTATGGATTACTTTTTTTAATGGGAAGAAAGCATTCACACAGCTCCGGTTTTGGGTGCATCATTGCAGTTGTTAAGGTGTTGCTTTTTATTTTGAGCAAGTATTTAAGTGGCTTTTTGTAAATGATATTCTTATCCCTCACTGTTTCTGTGAAATTGAAAACAGCCTTAACAATTGATCCTGGGCCTAATTAAATTTTGACTGAGGAGTGTTTCAGAGAGATATTTGTCAAAGTAGGGAATATAAAACATTATTTTGCCAGGCATGCATCATGTTTGACCTACAGTATAAGATCCTTTTTCCAGATTTCTTACCATGGCAATGGTGAGGGAGGGGAGAGTGATGACTCAGAGGGAGAGAACCAGGAGCTTGCACAGATTGACAGAGGTAGGTGCCCTCTGCCAAATACATTCTTTGTTTTAAATAGACAATCTTCTACATCATCCATTACAGTGCTTGTAGATAAAGCATTTGTTGTCTTTTGCAACCATGTCTCTACCTTCTCCTTTGACATTTCATGTTTATCAACTCCTTTAGAGAGATGGAGAAATTGTGCCCTCACCCCGTTGGCCACCAGCCAGCAGCACAACCAGGGTCCCATCTCTCTGGCCCGGTTACGACACCTCCGCCTTCTTTTAGATGCCAATCTGGATCATCACTCTTCAGAAGAAGAGCTTGAGCGAATAAGCTGTAGTGACAACAGGAAGTGGATGTCTGCACTTCCCCAGCACCACAGTGATCACCACAGCAGTGCCTCCAGCGATGAGGAGGTGCGGGACCGCTGTGGCTGCGGGTCACCGGCTGCCTCTGCCAGGCCTCTGGTTGAGCCAGGCGTTTGCCTGACTGCATCCCCCAGCCCTGTGCACTTCAGCTCCAGCCCACCACGTAGCCTCAAGCCTCCCCCCATGCGCTTTCAGCTGCAAGTGGTACAGCCAGTGGCACGGCCCATTATTTTGACCCACTTTGACCAATCAGCACCTTATAGAAAGTACCGGCATAGCTACAGCGTGGAGCAATGTAGACCCAGCCTGGACCTGGAGAAAATGCAAAAGGTTAGTGTCCAAGCCATAGTTAATATATCTCATTACTTTTTTATTAGCACCAACCTCTAGAATATAAGATACACTGTTGTACACCAATCAGCCATAACATTATGACCACCTGCCTAATACTGTTTACGTAGGAGTCAATGTGACAGTTGGTTGGCACTCGTGTCACTCTGCAGCTCACTGTGCATCTTCTGTAAATCCATTTACTTCCACAGTTATACTATCAAGAAGAACACAGATTTGTCTACAATTCAGTTGAAAAACTTGCATAAAAGGAATAAAAAATGTGGTCATGAGGACAGGTTAGAATTTTTTAGACAATTTCAACAGCCTCACCTCTCTAGGTGTGATATCACCACTACAGTCCCTGACTGTTTCTTTTCATAGAGACCAATGTACAGTATTTCTAAATCTAAACCATTTTAACAAAGATTCAAATCAATTTTAATTTTTTGAAAAGTACAAATGGAAGTTAAAAGTTTAATCTACAGTAGGTCAACCTCATCATCAGTGAGCCGTGGGTGTCCATGACCCTGTCACCAGTTCACCATTTGTCCTTCCTTAGACACTGTTGGTAGGTACTAACCACTGCAGACCAAGAACACCCCACAAGACCTGCAGTGTGGGAGATGATCTGACCCAGTCACCACAGTTTGGCCCTTGTCAAAGTCACTCAGATCCTTACACTTGCCCTTACACTTGCCCACATCAACATCAAGGACTGAATGTTCACTTGCTGCGTAATATACCCCGCACACCTCCAGGTGCCACTTTAATGAGATAATTAGTGTTATTCAAGTCACCTCTCAGTGGTCATAATGTTATGCCTGATCGGTGTATATAGATTTCAGTGATATTGAAACTTTTATGTTCCCTCCTAAGCAAGAAGTTGTTTCTTCTCTCAGCGCTTTAGATGTGTAATGAACACTGTGTTATCCAGCTCTCTTGACTTTTAGATATTTTAGTATATTTGTTTTATCATCGCCCTATTATTAGCTAACATTACTTATATAATATTGACTAAACAACACTTTGGAATTGATCATAAGCTTTACTTAAATAAGAGTAGCAATTCTATGCTGTAAAGAAACAAAACTTGTAAATAGAAGATGAGTATTTGAAAATGACTTAAAATTACCAAAATGTACTTGGGGAAGCAAAACTGAGTAATCAGACATATCGCTCTTGTAAGTGGTATCGTATTAAATAATTGGATTGTTATTAAGGCATTAATGTGTAAGTAGCATTTTAATGTTGCAACTGATCAAAGTGGAACTAATCTTAACTAGAAGTTGATCGAAACGGAGTAATCTTGGACATTAGTTTCATACTGGCAGCCCCTCTGAAAGAGGCACAAGCTCTTACGGTGGAGGATGGTGTACATAAAGCTTAAGGTTCACAAAGGAATAAAACACCAAAATCACCAGTAAAGTGTTATCTTTGCTCGGGGGGGGACTGTCATTGTACATGTTCAATTAGTATAGACTTTTATTTTAAGACAACCACACGCATTTTAAGCTTTTGAGGGCCACATAAAATGATGTGGTGGGCCGGATTCGGCATGTGGGCCTTGAGTATGACACGCGACTTATTCAGTGGTGAATTATCAGGTTACTTACACCGATTGTCTCTCATATGACCCACACTAATTATACCCTCAACAGGATATTGAGCTTGGAGAGCCCTAAATTACCAGGGTACAAAATAAAGTAACACTGCCCTTTAGACACATCCACACCTGTCCACCTCAGTTATTTTGCAGAAAACTGCTCATTATATATTTTCTTCTGTTCTGTATTATAAGGATGTGGTGATTTCTTCCTAGTAGCTCAATTTGTTTTCTGCCCCCGAATAGTTCAAAATGATTCACAGGATGCCTTATGTGTGAAAACACATTACTCCATTAGTTGAAGTTGATTTCTTGGAGACAGTGTACTTTCCACTAAAAATGTTAGAAGTACTGAGCAGCAGCAAAGCCTCACTCTACCCCTCTGAACAGCTTAAATTGTTATGAGTCAAAGATTCAGTCCAAAAATACAATGATGTCCCTGCAGCCTACCCAACTACTCTTCTCTCTCACACACACACACACACACACACACACACACACACACACACACACACACACCAAGTGCACATTCGCACAAGCAAACAATGTCTTCCCTTTCCATAGCCAGACACTCGCCACCACAGTGGTCTGGCTGGAGAGGGATGAAGGAGAGGGAAGCATGGATGGCAGATGTCCGCCCTCGTTTTGTCACAAAGGCTGGCAAAGGGAAAATGATGGTGGGGTGCAGGCAGAAGGAGAGGATTAAATAAACAGAAAAATGATGGCCACTAATGAGTCATGGAGAAGGTGGTTCACTAATCATTAAATCCAATAGCCTTGTTGGCCTGCACCATGGATGCATGTGTGCATCTGTGTGTGTGCACGCGCATTTGCAGAGAGAGAAACTGCAACTGCAGGTTTCAGGGTTTCATATGTCCATGAGGGAAAGAACTGTTGCCTAGAGGCAGTGGGCAGTGATGAGAGGGGTGAAGAGTAAAAAGAGAGGAAGAGCTGAGTGTGCATGCCGGTGGTGGTGTGGTGGGTACGCGTCTATCACCCTGCCTGTCTTTTGTGTCCATGTGTGTACATCCTCCTTTATCAGTGTTACTCTGTCTTTGTTACCACAGTGCTGGTGCCTGTATGTGACAATGTGTGCACACTCAGTCAAGTGGAATGGGAGGTGCTGTGGGGCCTACAGAGGTAGCTAGTAGACAGAGCTCCAGTCACCATTAACCCTTTAGCTGGACAACCTCCACTCACAAAGTGTAGCTCAACTTACACACCATCGCCATGTCATTTCTTTTACAAATGTTTTTTCAGAGTTTGATATTGGGACCCGAGAAGTATTGGCATCCCGCCACTAAATTGCAGTGGTTTGCCTTCAGCATTTAACCAGCAATTTCCTGACAAGTGCAAATGAGAAATACCAACAATTAATCCCAAAATGTCCAAGAAGAGAAAAGTTGATGCAGAAGGAAGGCAATTTAATGAAAGGTGGGAAAGCGAATATATGTTTCTGCTTCAAGGAGAAAAACTGGTGTGTCTTTTGTGTCATAAGGCAGTGTCGTGGTGAAGGAGTACAATATGCGTCGGCATTTTGAGACCAAACATGGAGTTAAGTATGCTAAAAATTTAGCCTCCAAGAAAAACAACAAATTGTCAAAGAATTAAAAGCCATTTTGTTTTGTTTGTTATTTTCAAAACATAATCAGTGGGTGAGGATGGTGTCTCAGGATGAGGAGGGATCTACTTGGTGTATTCAGGGACAAGCAGCATCACCTTATCAACCTCACCCAAAACTTGACCAGTATAGTTGTGAACTGAGACAACCCTTATTGTTATTTTGAGTTAATGACATATCCTACTTTGTATGTGTAGCACTACTCTTATTTTGCTTTATAATAATGTTGAAGAAAAAATATTTTGAATTGAAATTTTCAAATTTATTTTATTGAGGAAAAAGTTGTTGCAGTCTGTTCAAATTCATATTTCTGGTTAAACCATTGTCAGTTTTAGACTGTTCGATAAATGTTAATCCTGTTTGGCCCACAACTTAGACTGTGGTTTAATTTTTGGCCCCTTATGTGACTGAGTTGACAGCCCTGGTTTAGCCCGAAGAAAGAAATATTGCTGTTAGATATTTTATAGAAGCCAATTTAAAGGTGTTAAAACCAGGGGGAGTGTGTGTAATATGTGTGGAAGGTGTACAGTAGAGGAGGAGTGCACAGCTGTAATCAAGGATGGGAATCTATTATCTGTGAATTGTTGAAGATCCACCTAATATCTTTCCTCTCCTTGTACTAATAAACAAGGAGAGAAATATATTTAATGTTTACCTGTTAAAGCAAGTTTTGTCCACTTGTGGTACTCAAACAGGTCAAAGGACATTGTTGATTTGGGACTATTTAAAGCCATTGATTGGGAGACAAGTACAATATCCTGTGCCCCAGTGTGACCAGGAACCTTTCTTTAGCTCACAATGTTCATTGAGGCTAGGTCAGCAGGTTGTTTTCTTTCAGTATCTGATAATCTCCTGTGTGTTAATCCACGTCCAGTTGGTCAATTGCAGCACTGCCACAGTTTAGCATGATTACCATGAATTAACAGTCTTCACCTAATTTTCATATTGTTTTAGCCTTAGTCTTTTGACAAAAATATAGATAAATTTTAGTTCAGATTTAGTTATTTTGACACATTACACTATATTTTAAACATGATGAGCTGGTGTTTTGGTAAGCTTCAGCATCTGAGACAGTTGTCAATATTCTTCATGAATATCCACAGTTGGCAGGTTGGATGTGTGTGTATGGTTTAAGGAGAAGGGGGTTGTGGTGTGGTGTTGAGCAGAATGGTTCTTCAGTGGTCATGTGTAGTAGTGTGGTGCATGCATGTGTGTGATCCAAAGAGAAAAGTGTATCTATCAGGCACATTGAAAGTTCGTAGCAAGTTGGTTAAAACATACAAGTTTTATGTTTAGTCGAGTTTATAGTCCTTTTTTAACGTGATCAAAATTCAAACAGGTAATTTATAATAATTAATAATAATAATTTTTGTTTATATAGTGCTTTACAACAATGAAGGGAGCTCAAAGTCCTTCACAGTAAAACAGATAAAACAGAGCATGCCAAAATACATAAATGAAAGAAAAGTTAACATTGCACAAATTTAAAACAACAGCGGCTGTACTTCCTGAGGAGGCTGAGGAGGTTTGGCATGTCGCCTAGGATCCTTTGCAACTTCTACAGCTGCATCATTGAGAGCATCTTGACCAGCTGCATCACTGTCTGGTATGGCAGCACTACTGCTATGGACCGCAAGCGCCTGCAGAGAGTGGTAAAGACTGCGGAGAAGATCACCAGGACTCCACTGCCCTCTCTGCAGAGCATTTACCACTGCAGGGTGCGTAGGAAAGGTGCCTCCATCCTCAAAGATCCCACTCACCCCCAGCACGGAC